ACAGCCAGCCGCAGACGGTCACCCAGGCCGCTGACCAGGGTGTGCAGGCTGTCATAGGCCTGCGAGAGGCGCCTCACCTCCTCTTCCAGTCGATCCAGGCGGTCTCCAAAAAGGCCAGGGAGCTTCCTGCCTGTACAGGAAAAGAACCAGAGAGGGGACAGTCAGGGCCTGTGCTCCTTTAGCCGCTTTCCTATGTCATCTTCCTGATTTGAGTCCTTTCCATACTGACATTAGCTCCTGCTCTGGCTCTAGTTGCTATTTTGTCCAAACATCACACTCCCCATCTCCTTTTCCCCTAATGTCCCTAATAAGAACAGTCTCAAGGTGACAGGGAAAACCCTCTCCCTTTCGCTGTGTGAGATTAGGCCTTCTGTTCCTAAGTTCAAGAACCAGTGATCGGGACAGTCTGGGAGAGCTGTCTCAAAACACACTCTAGCTACCCTAAAATTGAGGGATAAATGCTTTAAAGCAGTGATGAAAGGCAAGTTTGAAGTGGTATATTTTGAAAAAAAAATCAAAAGGTAAGTGATCTTCAAACCAACGAAATGTCATTTCTCTGATCAGGAAGCAGGTCACTAAAAGCTTGCCAAATTTGTCCCCTGTGCTGGAACAGAAGAAATAAGAAGGCTTGTGGACAAGAACTATGGAATAGGCTTTCCTGGAATGATCTAGCAATGTGGAATATGAAAGAGGTCTCACCATATGGGTTCTTCTTTGGTCCCGCAAACAGGTCAGGGTGGCTTTTTGGAGGGGGAGGAACTCGAGGAATTGGAAACATGTTTTGCCCAGGAGGCATTCTAGGGCTGGGATGCTGGGGCAGGAGGCCAGGTTGGTCAGTTGGGCTGTCATGGCACCCTTCTCCCATGAAGCCTGGACAGCACCTCCAAGCCAGTTCCGTCACTGTCTTGTAGCCAATCTTGTATTTGGGTCTGAAGAAGGTGCGGTACCTTTCCAGGAGAGGGAAGGAAGAGAGAAGACAGTTTAGGAAACAATCTAGACTCCAAGCAATGCAGAAGACAGTGGCCATGGGTTGTGTAGGCTGTGCACAACTGGGCATCTTAGAAAGCCAGGCCAAGACATAAGTTCTTCATCAGCAAAGCACTAAGTACCTCCTCAAGGAGCTCTTTCTGCACCATGGCACAGTGTAGCATCAGCAAAACGTTTCTGGGCACACAGTTCATTAACTGTCACGCCACAAACCTTCATCCACCCTCTCCAAGGTAGCACACAGCAAGGGTAGGAATTCTGCCCAACAAGCTATTGATACAACCAGACAAGACTGAGGATACTGCAGGGATGTGAGGAGAGAGCACCAGTGCAGAGCCCTTACTTAAGTATTTGTGGGGGGTTGAGCAGAAGGCTGATTAGGAGTTTTTTGTTTGTTTGTTTTTAGTGGAGCTCGCAATACTATTTTGGGAGTTCACTAGTTTGCGACACTGGCTTGTGTGTGTTTTCTCCAGCTTGGATTGACCCAAGCACCTCCTGGAGGGTAAAAATCATCTTCTCCACTCTCTTCTTGCCCTGAGATGTCTGGGAACATTGAAAAACTTTTGGAGAAGTACTTCATCTCCTTTGGAAATTTCCAGTCTAAATTTACCAAAGGGGCTTAAACATCCTGACCTTTGTTGTTTTGAAAAAACACACACAATTCGGCCCTTGTTCTTCTCCAGCACCCCCAGCGGAAAACGTCGGAGGGGACTGACACAGATGGCCTTCCTGGATAGACATGGGGTCCAAGGAAGTGCAATAAGGCCCTTGGAGCTGTTGGATAGCTCAGGCAGCACGTGGGTCCTCACCCAAGGTCCCTCCGTGCTCCTGCCTACGCTACAGTCTCTGGGAGATGCTGCTTCTCCAGCGTAAGTGTAACATGGGAAAATAAACTTCCAGGGAGGCGAGTTTGTGTTCTCGGAAGCACCAGGCTTCAAGAATTGGTTAGTGCTGAGGGCCATCCCTCTGCTGTCCTTGGGATGAGGTGCCAGAGGCCCTCGATGTTGTGGAAGCTACACAGGAGTAAGGAAAAAAAGACGAGGAAAAGTGGATATGGTAGCTGAAAAAACTAACTCTTCTTTTTGTTATTCCTCTCCACAGAAGCTTCCAAGTTTCTATGGTCTTTCCTCTGCCTTAGGGTGTAGAAACTTGCTTGGAAGGGTCACG